CTGCTGCTGCTGCTGCGCTGCAGGCGCCGCAGCAGCAGCAGCAGCAGCACAGCAGCAGCAGCAGCAGCAGCAGCAAAAGGGTCTGCAGACTCGAACTCGTGGGCCTCTTTGCTGAAGAACCTTCCTTCTCTGTTGCTGCTGCTCTTCGCGGAAATAACGACAGCAACATTCAATACATAATTGAGCAGGCGCAGCACAAAATTGACATTTCCATTCGAGGTATTTTCGCTTCTTTTTGCGACTTTTCGCAGCTTTTTTTCTCCTTTTTCTCTCCTTTTGCTTCTCCTTTTTCTCTCCTTTTGCTTCCCCCTTTTTCTCCTTTTGTTTGTGCTTTTTTTCTCCTTTTGTTTGTGCTTTTTGTCTCGTTTTTTTCGCTTTTTTCGTGTCTTTTTTGCGGTTTTGTCGTGCTTTTATTCCTTTTCTTCCTCCTTTTTTTTCTTTTTTCCTCCCTTTTTTCCCCTTTTTGTCTCCTTTTGACTTTCCTTTTTGTCTCCTTTTCATTCTGCCTTTTATCTCTTATTTCTGCTCTTTTTCTTCTTTTTCCTTCATTTCCTGCCTTTTTGTCGTGCTTTTATTCCTCTTTTTCTCTGTTTGCTTCTCTTTGCACCTTTTTGCACTTTCTTTCTCTCCTTTTATCTCCTTTTTGTCTGCTTTTTGTCTCCTTTTGTTCCGCCTTTTGTCTCCTTTTATTTGTGCTTTTATTTCCTTCTTTTTGCCTTTTTGTTTCCCTTCCTTTGCATTTTTTGTCTCCCTTTTTTGCTTTTTCTTATTTTGTTGGCTTTCATTTTTTTGTCCTTTTCTTGCATCCTTTTACATGTTTTTGCATCTTTTTGTCTCCTTTTTGTCTCCGTTCTGTCTCACTTTTATCTCTTTTTTGTCTCCTTTTTGTCTTTTTTTAATCTCCTTTTAACCTCCTTTTTGTCTCCTTTTAATTTTTTTGAATCTCCCTTTTGTCTGCTTTTTGTCTCCTTTTTATGTCCTTTTTTAGTTTTATTTTTTGTTCCATCTTTTGTTTTTTATTTCTTTTATTTGTTTCTGTTTATCCCTTTCTCTTCTTTGATTCTGTTTTTGCTTTCGTCAATCCTTTTTCGTTTTCTTTAACTTCCTTTTAATTTCTTTCCACTTCTTTTAATTTCTTTTTTATTTCTTTTTGATTTCTTTTTATCTTTTTGTCTTTTCCTATTTTCCATCTACTTCCCTTCCTGCGTGAGACGCAGTGACGCTGCTGCAGCAGCAGCAGCAGCAGCAGCAGCAAGGGCGAGAAAGCTGTGGGTGT